GTCCCAGCCCTGCACACCCCTCTGTCCCAGCCCTGCACACTGCACCTGCACCGCAGCTGGGTCCCAGCCCTGCACGCTCACCTTGTCCCAGCCCTGCATGCTCACCCTGAACCACAGCCGCATCCCAGCCCTGCACGCTACCCCTGTCCCAGCCCTCCACACCCCTCTGTCCCAGCCCGGCATGCTCCTCCCCCTCCCAGTCCTGCGCCGCAGCTGGGTCCCAGCCCTGCATGCTGCCCTGCACCACAGCCGGGTCCCAGCCCTGCCCGCTGCCCCTGACATCCTGGCCTGGGCAGCTGCTCCTGCCTGTGCCCACCCGGGCAGAGCTGCACGGAGCAGCTCCCAGCCTCGCTGCTTGGTTCCTGCGGCTCCCCTGGGCCTTCGGCACCCACCGTCTCCGTGCCACGGAGCAGGCTCAGCTCGTCCCCACCATCAGCAGCTTCGCAGCCCCCGCCAGCACCCCGGCACCCACCGTGCTGTACATGCACACACGCACACACACGTGCACACGCACACACATGTGCGCACGCACACATGCACACATGCATGCAGACGCAGACACTCTGCACCCCGCGCCGCAGCATCCTCCTGCACCCACGCCAGCAGCACCCTGGCTTGGCACCGCTTGCCCTGCCCTGCTGGGCCGGTGCCAGTGCTGGGTGCCGGTGCCGGCTGCAGGCGCCGCTCACCACCCAGATCCTGGTGCTGCGGCTCATCTTGCCGTGGGGCTCGAACATCCAGCCGTGGTAGGAGAGGAGCAGCTTCAGCGCCTGCCGGAAGAGCAGGACGGCAGAGAGCCAGACGCCAGTGGAGAAGAGCGCGGCGCTCACCATCGTCCGGCTCTCGTAGCTCAGGAGGCGGCTGCAAGGGCAGAGGGGGTGAGGGGGGGGACGTGACGGGCTGGGGGACGTCCCCATGCAGGGCCATGCCCATGGTGTTGAGGGACATGTAGTGGGACACCCCCCCCCCCCGGGGGAGGTCTCCAAGTGGGGCTGTGCCCATGGGGTAGAGATGTGTGGGGTGGGACCCCCTGGGGGATGCTGCAGGCCCCCATGGCCATGCCGGTGGGGTTGGGGACATGCAGGGTGGGTGCCCCTGGGAGACAGGGCAAGGTGGGGCTGTGCCCATGGAGTTGGGGGATGCGTGGGGTGGTCTCCACCAAGGGGCATGGCAGGTGGGACCATGCCCATGAGTTGGGACATGGCAGGTGGTCCCCACCGAGGGATGTGGCTGGTGGGGCCGTGCCCCCCATGGGGTGTGTGGGGGTGGTCCCCCTGGCCGAGCTGCCTGCGCTCACCTCTCAGGCAGGCAGTGGCGGATGCGGGCAATCATCCCCAGGGAGGGGTCGACCTGGCAGTAGAAGGAGCCGGCGGTGGCCATCACGACCACCATCCAGCTGGAGGGGGAGGCGGGGTAGACGCCGGTCAGGAAGCTGTTCTGTGGGCACAGGGGGGTCAGGGTGGCAGGGACGGCAGGGACGGGAGGGTCCGACCGTCCAGCTAACCCTGGCTGAGCCCACCTTGGCACGGACCAAGCGCTTCTTCCAGGAGGAGATGCCGGCGAGGTAGAGCTGTTTGACCGCCTCGCGGCTGAGGTGGAAGTCCAAGCCCTCGGGGGTGACAGTGAACTGGAAGGCCACGGCCTGGTGAGCCTCCGCCATCCTGGGGGTCTGCCAGCACCTGCAGGGGGGGCACAGGGATGGTCACCCCCGGGACACGCTGCCCGGGATGGAGGGGGGACCCCTGCCTGGCCCCAGCGCCCCAGCTCGGTGGGCAAAGCCATGGAGGGGGGGCGGTGCGTGCCCTTGCCCGAGGGGGGGCCGTCTGCCATGGCGCTGCCCCGGCCAGCACGGTGCATGGGCACCGGAGTGGCCTCGGAAGTGGCGTGTCCGCCACAGTGCCAGGACGGCTGCGTCCCATGGGAGCCTGCCAGCTCAGTGCGCCCGCTGCCTGCTGCGGCCCCGTCCCAGTCACGCGGCGCTGGCCGGGTGCCCACTGAGGGAAGGGTCAGTGCCGCCACCGGCCCTGGCACCGTCCCCAGCGCTCAGGGAGAGGGGACGGTGGCGTGGACACACCCCCGCTCGCGGGCAGCTGCCCGGCCCCTGCCCACAGCAAAACCCTCGGAGGACGAGGCAGCACCTGCACCTGTGCCAGTACGCGGCACACGCCGTCCCTGTGCAGGCAGCCGCGGCTGCGCTGGGAACGCCGCTGGCCGAGGCAGCAGCAGGAGCTGCAGGGCGAGCAGGGACCCCTCTGCGGGCACAGCCGGGCTCCCATGGGGTCCCTGGGGACCCTCCGGTGTCAGCGCAGCCGGTGCCAGCCCGGGGCTCAGCCCGAGGGCTGCTGGGCCTGCGGTTTCTGCTGGAGCCCAGGCCTCGGGGTGGGGGGGGCCTCAGGGTGGGGGGAGCCCCCGGTGCGGGTGTGCTAAGGGCGCCCTTTCACAAGGGCGTCCTTGGGCTGAAGGTAAACAGCAGCAGCTCGGCAAGAGCCAGGTCACGCCACTACCGCTACCACTGCACCGCACTGCACTGCACGGCTACACTGCACTGCGTCACTCTGCGCTGTGCTGCACCACACAGCTACACTGCGCTGCACTGGGGTGCATTGCACTGCACTGCACTGCATCGCTCTGCACTGTGCTGCACCACACTGCGTTACACTGCCCCGCACGGCACGGCACTGCCCTGTGCTGCGCTGCCCCGCACGGCACTGCATTAAACTGCGTCACCCTGCACTAAAGTGCACTGCAGCGCGTGGCACTGCCCGGCTGCAGGCTGCACTGCACCACACCCCGCTGCAGGCAATCACCCTGAACTGCACGGCATGGCACGGCACTGCATGGCACTGCACAGCACTGCACGGCATGGCACAGCACAACACGGCTGCAGGCTGCACTGCACCGTTGCATGGAATCACCCTGCACTGCACTGCACTGCACGGCACAGTACGGCATGGCACTGCACTGCACGGCGCGGCACAGCATGGCCCGGCACTGCGCTGCACGGCACTGCATGTCACGGCACGGCAGTGTCACCGCAGGCTCCCGGGGACCCCGCAGGGCCCATGTCCGCGGGTGGGACGAGGCCCCCGTGGGGCCGGGCCCCCCCCGCCCCGCAGCGAGCGCCGCAAGGTCACCGG